TGATGCTCGCTAGTCACTGGCGGCTGCAGGACGACGTTGCCTGCACTTCTACTCACAAGTCGTCACCAGTGGGATCCACTCGGTCGGCAGTGACCACAAATACTCGCCAACCATGACATTGGCTGGTGGTCGCGCTAAAATCACCAATTGCTAGGAGTTACAATTCATGGGCCATTGAGTCGAGTCCCAGTGACTGAATGCTCTACGAGCTTGCCTTGTCACCCGGAAGCTCCTCGCTTCCAAACACACTGGGTGCGCACTGCCCACCACTCCCACGCTAGCACCAAACACCTCTCCACTACTCCCTGCTTCCCAATGCTCGCTTCTCTCACTCATATCAATCCGTGATCAAACTTCAAACAAATCGAATCCCTACAGACAAACTCCTGCAAATTAATCTGATGCTCGCTAGTCACTGGCGGCTGCAGGACGACGTTGCCTGCACTTCTACTCACAAGTCGTCACCAGTGGGGTCCACTCGGTCGGCAGTGACGACAAATACTCGCCAACCATGACATTGGCTGGTGGTCGCGCTAAAATCACCAATTGCTAGGAGTTACAATTCATGGGCCATTGAGTCGAGTCCCAGTGACTGAATGCTCTACGAGCTTGCCTTGTCACCCGGAAGCTCCTCGCTTCCAAACACACTGGGTGCGCACTGCCCACCACTCCCACGCTAGCACCAAACACCTCTCCACTACTCCCTGCTTCCCAATGCTCGCTTCTCTCACTCATATCAATCCGTGATCAAACTTCAAACAAATCGAATCCCTACAGACAAACTCCTGCAAATTAATCTGATGCTCGCTAGTCACTGGCGGCTGCAGGACGACGTTGCCTGCACTTCTACTCACAAGTCGTCACCAGTGGGGTCCACTCGGTCGGCAGTGACGACAAATACTCGCCAACCATGACATTGGCTGGTGGTCGCGCTAAAATCACCAATTGCTAGGAGTTACAATTCATGGGCCATTGAGTCGAGTCCCAGTGACTGAATGCTCTACGAGCTCGCCTTGTCACCCGGAAGCTCCTCGCTTCCAAACACACTGGGTGCGCACTGCCCACCACTCCCACGCTAGCACCAAACACCTCTCCACTACTCCCTGCTTCACAATGCTCGCTTCTCTCACTCATATCAATCCGTGATCAAACTTCAAACAAATCGAATCCCTACAGACAAACTCCTGCAAATTAATCTGATGCTCGCTAGTCACTGGCGGCTGCAGGACGACGTTGCCTGCACTTCTACTCACAAGTCGTCACCAGTGGGGTCCACTCGGTCGGCAGTGACGACAAATACTCGCCAACCATGACATTGGCTGGTGGTCGCGCTAAAATCACCAATTGCTAGGAGTTACAATTCATGGGCCATTGAGTCGAGTCCCAGTGACTGAATGCTCTACGAGCTTGCCTTGTCACCCGGAAGCTCCTCGCTTCCAAACACACTGGGTGCGCACTGCCCACCACTCCCACGCTAGCACCAAACACCTCTCCACTACTCCCTGCTTCCCAATGCTCGCTTCTCTCACTCATATCAATCCGTGATCAAACTTCAAACAAATCGAATCCCTACAGACAAACTCCTGCAAATTAATCTGATGCTCGCTAGTCACTGGCGGCTGCAGGACGACGTTGCCTGCACTTCTACTCACAAGTCGTCACCAGTGGGGTCCACTCGGTCGGCAGTGACGACAAATACTCGCCAACCATGACATTGGCTGGTGGTCGCGCTAAAATCACCAATTGCTAGGAGTTACAATTCATGGGCCATTGAGTCGAGTCCCAGTGACTGAATGCTCTACGAGCTCGCCTTGTCACCCGGAAGCTCCTCGCTTCCAAACACACTGGGTGCGCACTGCCCACCACTCCCACGCTAGCACCAAACACCTCTCCACTACTCCCTGCTTCCCAATGCTCGCTTCTCTCACTCATATCAATCCGTGATCAAACTTCAAACAAATCGAATCCCTACAGACAAACTCCTGCAAATTAATCTGATGCTCGCTAGTCACTGGCGGCTGCAGGACGACGTTGCCTGCACTTCTACTCACAAGTCGTCACCAGTGGGGTCCACTCGGTCGGCAGTGACGACAAATACTCGCCAACCATGACATTGGCTGGTGGTCGCGCTAAAATCACCAATTGCTAGGAGTTACAATTCATGGGCCATTGAGTCGAGTCCCAGTGACTGAATGCTCTACGAGCTTGCCTTGTCACCCGGAAGCTCCTCGCTTCCAAACACACTGGGTGCGCACTGCCCACCACTCCCACGCTAGCACCAAACACCTCTCCACTACTCCCTGCTTCCCAATGCTCGCTTCTCTCACTCATATCAATCCGTGATCAAACTTCAAACAAATCGAATCCCTACAGACAAACTCCTGCAAATTAATCTGATGCTCGCTAGTCACTGGCGGCTGCAGGACGACGTTGCCTGCACTTCTACTCACAAGTCGTCACCAGTGGGATCCACTCGGTCGGCAGTGACCACAAATACTCGCCAACCATGACATTGGCTGGTGGTCGCGCTAAAATCACCAATTGCTAGGAGTTACAATTCATGGGCCATTGAGTCGAGTCCCAGTGACTGAATGCTCTACGAGCTTGCCTTGTCACCCGGAAGCTCCTCGCTTCCAAACACACTGGGTGCGCACTGCCCACCACTCCCACGCTAGCACCAAACACCTCTCCACTACTCCCTGCTTCCCAATGCTCGCTTCTCTCACTCATATCAATCCGTGATCAAACTTCAAACAAATCGAATCCCTACAGACAAACTCCTGCAAATTAATCTGATGCTCGCTAGTCACTGGCGGCTGCAGGACGACGTTGCCTGCACTTCTACTCACAAGTCGTCACCAGTGGGGTCCACTCGGTCGGCAGTGACGACAAATACTCGCCAACCATGACATTGGCTGGTGGTCGCGCTAAAATCACCAATTGCTAGGAGTTACAATTCATGGGCCATTGAGTCGAGTCCCAGTGACTGAATGCTCTACGAGCTCGCCTTGTCACCCGGAAGCTCCTCGCTTCCAAACACACTGGGTGCGCACTGCCCACCACTCCCACGCTAGCACCAAACACCTCTCCACTACTCCCTGCTTCACAATGCTCGCTTCTCTCACTCATATCAATCCGTGATCAAACTTCAAACAAATCGAATCCCTACAGACAAACTCCTGCAAATTAATCTGATGCTCGCTAGTCACTGGCGGCTGCAGGACGACGTTGCCTGCACTTCTACTCACAAGTCGTCACCAGTGGGGTCCACTCGGTCGGCAGTGACGACAAATACTCGCCAACCATGACATTGGCTGGTGGTCGCGCTAAAATCACCAATTGCTAGGAGTTACAATTCATGGGCCATTGAGTCGAGTCCCAGTGACTGAATGCTCTACGAGCTTGCCTTGTCACCCGGAAGCTCCTCGCTTCCAAACACACTGGGTGCGCACTGCCCACCACTCCCACGCTAGCACCAAACACCTCTCCACTACTCCCTGCTTCCCAATGCTCGCTTCTCTCACTCATATCAATCCGTGATCAAACTTCAAACAAATCGAATCCCTACAGACAAACTCCTGCAAATTAATCTGATGCTCGCTAGTCACTGGCGGCTGCAGGACGACGTTGCCTGCACTTCTACTCACAAGTCGTCACCAGTGGGGTCCACTCGGTCGGCAGTGACGACAAATACTCGCCAACGGTGACATTTCCTGGTTATTGAACAAGTCAATAAGGTTTGAAAATATCATTACTACACGTATCTGCCACGTAGTTGGGAGCGTGCGGAAATCCGAGTCCAATATGAAAAGTTTGCTCACTTGGTGGTGTACATTGAATCGACAAAACTTGGGAAAAACAACAGAAGTTACTAGGCTCCAACCAATCAGTGTAGTTTAATATCTAATCAATTTCAAAATGTGCCGATTTACACATATATACACATATGTACATTTTAAATGCAAATTTCATAAAAACGTTAATATCACTTATCATATACCATTATTTAATCAAAATTCAACTGCTGACAAATGCAACCTGATCCAAATACTGTGTTTGAGACCAGGAAAATCAAACTCTACACTGTTCATAGGAGAAAAAAAATCAATGAATCTAACCGAACAGTTTTATGCACCAAATGAGTACAACATTTATCAAATACTAAATGAAAGAAGCCAAAGCATGATGTCACTAAACATAAATGAACAAAATCCCATTGAAAGGCATTGGATACATGCACACTGTTAGCATAATTTTTCAACAATATCCATCCTCAGCATGCTTCACACATTGACTACTCAACAAACCAAAAAAAGCAATTTTTCCGAATTCTTTGGTATGGTTTCTGAACAATCCAAATTGGAATGAAACTCACCTGTTAGTTAAGCTAAAACCAAAAGTGCAAAACCGAAACTCTTAAACCTCCGAAACACATTTTACGGTTTATTTTACATTCAGTTCATATAATTCATGAGAATACTTTCTAAAATTATACAAAAGAGCAAAACATAGGAAACAAGAATACAAGGGATGAAAGTAAAATATAAAGAGAACAAGAAGTACAATATAGAAATTGCAGAGAATCAATTACTACAAAACAATCGCTAAACAGTGAAACCAAAATCCATATAATAATCACTTTAACTAAAGATTAATGTAAATGAAGAGATTTAGGCGCCTGATCGTTTGTACAAGAAATATGAGATACTATATAGAATCACAGAAGGAAATATAGAACAAATACATCGTACATAGTATGAGGGGATGAAACATGTTAGTGTTGCAAAGTGGGCTTACAGAAAGAGACTGGTAAATGCATGCAAAGCTATTTTATAGCAGTGTGAAGGATACTTATTATGTAAACGGTAACAAGATTTGTCAATTACTTAAGCAATAATCGTAATGAACGTCATAATAGTAATAACAGTTATATATATATTACAAAAATAACTTGAAAAGGTGATTGATGAATACCTTCAGGTGACTTCATTTCCATAACATTAACTTTTTATAACACTGGGAACTGCTAACTCAGATACTGACTCTTCGGGATTACACAACTGCTGAGGTCGCTCCTGTTGTTGTGGCTGATGCTGATTAGTTACACTAAACTCATTATTTCCAGACGAGACAGTTGTGTCGTCACGTTCTGATTGATCATAATAATTTTTTAAACGAACATGCCATGCTATACTAGCCACAGCTGAAACAGACTTGAATTGATGTACAACATTGCGTGGAATAAAATAGATATCATTATCACGAAGAGGTAAACGGACATAACGAAAGCCTTCTGAATGCAGTTGATTCAGTTCACCATCGTCCGCCCAAAATGAACCACACTTTTCAGTAAATAAAATAACAACAAATTTACACATGCAGTATAAAAATACACTAAATACGAATTATTAGGTGGTATGAAATATTAGAAATCAGTTAATGTCGAATAGTCTATTGGAACCCTTTATTTAGCATCTCAGTGTGCGAATATAAAATACATACGAAGTTTCTTTAAATCAAAGTTATACCATTCCACCATCTCAAGTGGTTTCTCAAACATATTAGCAAATAGTGTAAATAAACATACTTTTCCTTGCAATGAAGGGATACCTCCTTGAATCAGTTTAGTGCTTTAAAATTACTTTAATAAGGATGAAACAGGAAGACAAATTGTTGTGTTAAGTTGAAAGCGTTTCCCAAGTTAGTATCTTTTGAGTCTTAACTTATAATAACATAGAAGTTAAATACTAAGTGCGAGTTGGAAAAGACTACCAACTCTACGCTCGAATCAAGAGCCGCATATATTTCTAAGGCTGAAAAAAATTTGAGCCACCGGGAAGTCAGAACAATGCTGCTACATTACAACACCTGATGAAGGTTCAGGAATAAACCTCCATAACAGAAATGATTATGCTAAAAAGATGAAAGATTTATTGAGAGACAAACAGTTTCGAAAACTGGAGGGGAGCACAAATTTAAACAACAAAGTAGAAGATAAAATAACCAGGTGTTCGTGAAAATTGAGGGAGGGGACAGATACTTTCCACAAGTTTACATGACGAACTCATACCCACGGTCACATACACACCAAGATTATATGGCTCAGCCGTTAAGACCGATTCTAGTTAGACATGCACAATCCGTCCTATCATGCTTTAGCTAAATGGTTGTTAACTATCCTAAAACCATATGCTCCTTCTGTACATTTCACACCCTCTTCACATTTGTTAAAATTGACACTCAAATACCTTTATTCTCAATCAATAGCAATTTTAACCTTATCAAATTTCTATCCTAAAACCCTTACATGAACAGCTAGTGAAATATAGTATGAAAAATGTATTTGAATTCACGGACAGAATTGAAGATATCAATATCAAAGATGACACTATGATATCTTTGAACGCAACGTCTCCATCTACAAATGCACCTCTAACTGAAACGATCAATTACATATGTGAACAAATAAATAACAAGCCAATAAATATCAGGATCTCAGTAGAAATCCTTAAAGAACTGTTACTAATGTGCACCATGAATATGCACATGCATTTTAGGTTGGTTGGTGGCAATGAGCTCTCCATTGGGTTACATGTTAGCATATTTATTTCCAAATAAATTAGGAAATGGTACTCAAAACAACTTTATCAAGAAATTCTCATTTTATTGCCGGTATATAAATGATAACTTGTGAAAATGATTTGGACAGGAACACAATAGTGTCTCAATTCAATGAAGTACATTCAGCTATAAAATTCACATGTTAAGAATTCCAAAATAAAATTGTCTTTCTAGACGTCCTACTGACACAAACACCAGATGGTAGTATAAGAAGGAATTTGCATGAGAAAAGTACTTGGAACGGTCAAAATACACATTTTCACAGCCTTATTTCTCTGCAGTATAAAAGAAATTTTGTAAATACCTTCAGCAATTGAAGACGAACTTAAGGTGTGTATGATAAGTTAATCAAAAACGGCTACCTTGAAAAGCTTATCATAAAATAGAGACTAGAAAAGAATTCTCCTATATTCCCTAACACAAAGATTGCATGTACACGACTGCAATTCAAAGATGATGTACCATGGGAAATAATAACCAACAATTTGGAAAAAATCGAATCAAAGTCGTTAACTAGGTCCAAGAGCCATTACCTTCTGTTAAACCTATAAATTCATAAATTCTGTTGAATGTCTGCAAATATTTATACATTGCAGAATCTGCCAGAAATTAGACATAGGGCCAGTACATTCTCCTTCGATTCCGAAGCCAATCCCTTTTGTTTCTTAAAGTTTGTTTCGCTCTAGTCAGACTTAATCTAAGTATGACTGTGGAACAAAAAACCTTAGATAGTATGATGGTAAAGCTGATCCATCTATGAATCTCATAGGAACATTTATTTCCTTTCTTAAAAACTTGCACTTTCGCCGATCTACACCAAGACGTTGGAACTATCTCAAAGTCCCACACTCTAGCTAATATGTTGTTTAACCTAGTCAGTAATTCGTCGTAACCAACTTTAAGCTCATTTGGAGTTATATCAGAAGTGGAAATCTCTAATATGGAGTTGAAAAACTGGTTTCAAGATACTGCAGGTGGTGCTTATACCACTGCATTCTCCAGTAAGTTACAAAGTCCAGAAAAAACAAATCGCCTGTCTGGTAAATGGTATAAGCAGTGTGAAGAAAACGAAAGATGGTAGGTGAGGAACAGGTGAACTTTCTGTGCTCATATTTTTCAGCAGTGGCTACTTCTGGCTACCCACACCCTGGAAGTTGGTATCTTCTTAGATTATATAAAATAATAAGTCGAAATGTAAAATTTTCGGTATTGACCTCTCCTAATCCCTATTCCACAGAGGCGGAAGATATCACAACTGGCTCGCTGATCATCCTAGAGAAACACCTCACTGCCGTTATATCCCCATCTACCACCAGTAAGACTACGCTCTGAAATCCGTACGATAGGGCACGCAACACATACTATAATGGCAACTGTTTTTTGTCTAACTGACCTTCCTGGTGCAATACGAAATGGAGTTCACTCGTCTAGAAAAGTTAGTTGGTCAATAAAGTTTAAAATCTCAGTCTTCATATAACAATGAACTGTATGAAGCAAACTCTGTTTTGTCAAGGAGTATGTGTATTGAATAGCGGTTTGTTTCGTCCTACTCTACGGCCTTGAAGATATGAAAACATAGGTCATTTTACTGCAGATGCCTTCAGCCAATTTTCGCCTTTGGGTGGAACAGTATATGTAATAATGAGGTGTCTTATAAAAGGAAGGAAAGGAAATCTACGAAGTTGTGAATTTCGATTGACTAAGATGGTTAAGATAGTCCCTACATATGCTGCACAACCGCCTTCGTAGCTGGAAAGTGTTAGCCGAAGTCACAATATGTTGGAAAAGATTAAGAGAAACGAACACTAAAACATAGTGTGGTGTGCGCTACTGATAAGATTTATCAGTAGTATATAAAGACATTCACCAACATAAAAAATATCAAGTAGCAGAGAGATAGATTTGACGTCAAAGACAGCAAATGACTCAGCGTTGAGCAACAACACGGGAGATACGAACAGAAGACAAAGAAACACAATACGAAGGGCAGAAGTAGCACAACACGAAACATCTGTGCAAATGACGATTTGGAGATAAGGTGTACATAATTTCTCAATATAGAGATACCATTCCTTCACCAAGTCCGTTACCTTTTACCATTACAATAGTACTAATGCATGAAATAAATAACTATTGGTCTGAGCCATTCAGGGTGATGTAGACTGATTGGGGTTTCTCACATGTTAAGGAGTAGTAGATGGAAACTCCTACTGATTCGGTTCAAAACCATTCAATAATGTACAGGAGTGATACTTGACATCTTTTAGATCTTACAAAGCTTCACTGACCTTCATTTGATTATCTCCTTCATCTCACCTATGTTCTTTTGTTGGTATTAAACTTTATTTGTCCCCATATTTTGAAACGTGGCAAATTAATCTGATCCAATTGTTCCCAGTTGATAAACCGGTCCTCCAGTATCAATTTCGTAACGGCTATGACTTATCAGTGAAGCATGAAATAGCACACTTTAGAGTCTGCAGAGAAGAATAATATTTCTCAGAGTTACACATATGCTGAGGCAGCCTGACTTCTTGATGAAGATCTCTTATTACCTAACGAATTAATCTGAATAGTGAGTCGTAGAATTATATTGCGCTATTTCAACTTCGTCTTACACCACACCATACTTTTTTTACCTCAAACACAACACTCACCACCGACAAAAAATATAATCAACGAAGATTAAAAGTAGGACGAGTTTTTAAGCTGAATATTTAATAAATCACAAGATAGTATGTGCTTTTGATTTCATTCATCTTTATGATTAAGATAAGTCAACCTGTTATCCGCGAATATTTCATGTTGGTTAAGTAATAATCCGTTAACTAATACGCTGTATTTTATCGAGCTGGGGTTAAATTGAAATATGATGGAATGTGGCCACATATGTCTGCCTACCATTAACACATGGTAAAAGCTGAAAAAAGTGATATACAAAAGCGATTTTAGGAGTAGTAACAAAGTAAAAAAAATATGAAAAACAAACCTGATTTGTTGGTGGCTCCATAATATCTAGCCTTAACCGTTCAATCAAATCAGCGTAATGACGCGGATCAAATACAACTACATCTTTAACTATTCTAGCAGGCTGATTTAATTTAAGAGCATATGGATTCGTGGAAGAGCTTGCAACGTGATTGCCATCTTCAGAAGACGAACAGGATGACGAATGAGGAAATGAATCTTCTTCTCCAACTCGAGGGGGATATACAGCTTTGAGAAGTCCAACAGCTGCTGTGGCATGACGTGCGAGCCCATCATCTGCATGGTCCGCATGACATGGAGTTCTATCATGGACTGCTATTTGACGTCCACTAAATTTCCGGCGATCTATAACCAGGTCTGTAATGCCACAACCATCGACAATACTGATAAAACAACATAAAAACACAATTCACAGAAATGAGTTAAACAAATGTAGGAATAACCAGGAAAGAATACATATTTTGTTATGCAATTCAAGAACTCAATATGAGTTTATTTTTACGAGTTGATGATGGATTGATATCGGTTAGAGAACCATTGAAAACCAGGAAGTACTGGACAGCTGTTTCATCCTAGTTTTGGGAATCATCGGTAGTACGCACCCACTACAGTGGAGTTCGAACCCAGGACCTTCCGGTTACAAGGCAAGCTCATGTACCCTTCAGCCACTGGGACCCCTACCAATGGTAAAAGTTAGGATTCATGAGCCATTGAATTGGGTCCCAGTGGCTGAATGGTATACGAGCTTGCCTTGTAACCGGAAGGTCCTGGGTTCGAACTCCACTGTGGTGGGTGCGTACTACCGATGATTCCCAAAACTAGGATGAAACAGCTGTCCAGTACTCCCTGGTTTTCAATGGTTCTCTAACTGATATCAATCCATCATCAACTCGTAAAAAGAAAACTAACCCTTACATACCAACTATAGAAAATGAGTTTATTAACTAAGCCGAGTTACATTTGATGTGTAACGGTTTATAATAATGCCAGTCTCCCAGGTCGAAGTAATTAATGGGTGTGGTGCAATCCGGGGATCAAAGTCGAAAGTCAGTGAACTAAATCTTCACACCAGACACGAAGAAAAAAATGTTTTAGACGTCTGGACAGTATCCAAGCTCCCAGACAAACCACTCGATAATAATTACCTGAAGATCTTAACCCAACTCAATACCCACAC